TCCAGTGGCCACCCATCAAGAAAGGTCCCAAACTCCCAGTATAGTCTGGCCAAGATGTTAACGACCGACCAGCGCGACCGACCAGGATCTGTTATGCACGAGGGGTCGCCTGATTCCTTGCATGTCTCCGGATGTTCAAGATGATTACGGCACCCGGACCCATAGTGAAACCAAGATAAAAGTGAAGCCTGCACATGGGAAAATAGCTAGTAGAGATCGTCTAGCACTAAAATCAACATAGAGTTCGTTTTGCCTTGTGAGTGACAAGTCGTCCGGCCAAGCCTCAGGAAGCCATTCCCCGGGCCCGGCGACGCGTTTCTTGCTCACCTCGGGCACGCGTACGCCCGTTGTGCGAGTCTCCACTACGACCTAGAGATCTAATTGGTGGGGACCACGTCGACGCGCGCTAAGGAGTGATCCGCCATTTCATATTCCAGTTGGCGAACCGAACGGTAACCCATTTCATATTATTAACTTGCGGTTTGGGAGGTTGTTAGTAGTCACCCCTTGAACTTGATTGAGAGACTGCTGTGTGGTAGGATTGTATACCTGTGTGTGAATCGGTTAGTCTTCCGGAACGAATTCTAGTGTTCGGCTCCGGGAGTGGTGCGCGATATTGATTTGAGTAAGCCAGTGAGTTTGGAGCTGACCAGGGTTCTGAACTAGGCTTTGTTGACTGGACCGAAGACCCACCGCTCAAGGGTCCGAAAGAATAAGAACGGCTGTATATTGTGTATAACTCTCTGTTTGTATTGATTGGTGTTTGGGGACGACTCCACTAATAGTCTGACCCCCCCCCAGCCGTACTGACTCCGTTTGGAAACGAAAGTGGGCGATTGTATTATTCTGTATCTGATTGATATTGTGAAAGCAACTCAGGTGGTGAACTCCGGACTTACCGAAGATAAACGCTACCTAGAGGGATTACACAAGGTCACACGCCAACTCCGGTCGGGATACTCGTATTCCAATTGGAGACTGACCCCCACTTGGGTTTTTCGTTTGGACTCACCCAATCACTGGGCACGTAACTATACACCCTGGACGATAAAGGCGTTCACCCGCCTCGCCTCACTGGCCTGTATCCGGACACGGTCAGTCTGCCTCGCCGCAGCTCGTTGAGAATCCGTTCTTTGAGCCCTTGATGCTCGCGCGCGTTCTCGGTTTTTAGTCTTCGTGCACTCCTTCTGTGAAGCGGTCATTTTTGCCCTACGCATCCTTTGTCTTTCCGCGTTACAGGCTCGGATAGCGCCGCTCGTTCAGCTGAAGAAGGGGCCAATACGGCTACCTGTGCCGTCTCCGTGATACGCACACCATCCGCGTACGCGGCCGCATACCGACTCTGGTGCTCAGCTGGATCATCCTCTTCGGACTTGCCTTCCTGCTCTAGTGTGGGCTGTTCATCAGCCGCGACGACCTGGTGTACTGGCTCTGGGACGTTGACATCGTCCCCAGCTATACTGAGAGCTTCTAGCTCCTTTTCGAACCCACGTTTCACCCGGGATCGTAGCTTCTGTCGCTTCCGCTTAACTTATTCCTCCTTTGGCTCCCTGGGTGTCTTATTCACCTGCGCATTATGCTTCAGGGCCGCTGTGATTTCAGCCCGCGTGCACTGGCGTTTGGGGCGGCGGGCCATGGCTCACTTACTGCGAACACGAAACGGTGTAACGTGACGCGTTAGACATAAAGTCTAAGTACACCGCATATAGCACTAGTCTTCCATGCAGCTTGGTTGGGTTGAACATCTGCGTACTGCCCGGGTGGTGCGGCTCCCATCGAAGTTTATTATCTCATGGAACGAAGCAACCGACACGAAACACCGAAGTGAATTCGCTCGCAAACGTGCAGTCGGCAAGTCAGGGTTGAGCGCCCAGGCAGTACTGAGGGTCTTCGTGCGATATCCTTTTGTGCATTCATGGGAATGGCTTGGTTGCATGGGCCAAAGGACCCATTCCGGCCAGCTCAACTGGTTCGCGTTCGGGCTTGTTGTCAATAGACCGGTGCCAATATAAATTACCAAAATATGTAAGATTTTGATAATTTACGGTATGCTACTCGCCAGAGTGGGCGGTGGGTTTAAATACTTTCTAATGATCCAAAATGTGTATGACTTAAAGTAGTCCAACCCAAATCACACCAATATTTAAAAAAAAACTAAGCACGGCTTCCGCCTTGCGAGGCAACCCCCGCTAGGATAATACTTCCACCTAAGCAGCCCCAGGTGCCTCGGACTATCTGTGCGTGGTTGTGGTAGTGGCTTGTGTGGATAACTAACATGCATACACGCAGCGTACCTCACAAGCGTCGTGGCGCGCACGCGTCACTGGGGGCAACACGTTGCACTACAATTTCGTGTGGTCCACATTAATAATTCTTTAAAATATTAAATTGATGATACCTTAAATATTTTAAAAGAGCAAAAAAACCTAATTTTATTTATTGAGAGCCCTAGGTAGGGACAGCGAAGACGTTAACCCCGGAAGCTGGTTCAACGGATCCGCGTATACTCCCAAGTGCCCCAACCAGTCGCGACGACCTCCTCGGACGTGTTGACGGCGATGTGTGGCTGGCAAGAGGAGAACAGGGAAGGACTTGCCAAGTAGGCACTGCCTTTAATCCATGTCTCTATAGTTAGCAATTAACGTAAATAGAGGATCTCGTCACCGCCGAGCCGCCCGTCTAAGCTGGGGTCCGCCCTCGCATAATCGACACAGGCTACCGAAGTCAGGAGGACCAAAACAATCTACGGGACCAGGCAGGCTGCCTCGTGCGTGTTCTTGGGCGAGAATGCGCTGCGGTAGAATAGGTCTCTTTGAATGAACATCAGAGGCACAGTAGACTGCAAACTGCTATGAACGGACGCACGGAGCTAATAACGCGACGATCCAGCGCTGCCGAGTTGGATCAATAGTCGTAGGAGGCCAAGATACGGCAGCAAGGACGTCGTACCGTGTTATGGTAACATGGTCGACGCAGAACCTGGCGCAAAATAGCGGCCCGAGCGTTGGTGCTGACGTTTAGTTCCTCGCCAGGATGGGGGTATACTTAGTAACATTCTGCTGTAGGCCCTGCATCCTTCCATTGAGCGCAGAGTGGCCGAGCGCGCTAGCCCATTTTTGCGTGGTTACCCGTCTATGCTGATGTTTGACGTTCAAAGCTGTTATAGCAGGTGTGACACAAAGCCAAATAGTCCTCGAGACTATTTCAGCGGCCAGGCAGGGTCCCCTACTCCGTCCTCTAGGGCACTCGTTTGCGTTCGATCGAACACGTTTACGGACAATTTGATCCACTTGCAAGCGTCAACACAGGCAAACACAGATTACGTGGTGTAACACACACCCGCGACAAACACGCTCAAGAGAGACTTTCAGAAGCACGTGTTTTTGGCAAAAACTCGTAGCGAAAAACCCGTAGCGATCCGATCTATTTTTGGCACGGGCGACGCTACGTGTTTTTCGATCCCGTAAACCCGTGAGAGGGGGGTCCGCTACGGGGTAATCAAACCGAAATATACGTAAGGGAGCAGCATGCCTAAGCTTCTTCGTAAGGGTGGGTGGGGACCCTGGATGACAAATAGTTGGTCGTGGGCGCATGTGCCGTCTGTTAGAAGCCGAGTGCTCATCGTTGGCGACCTTAGATTGTGTGTGTGCTCAGTTATCTGCTGCTATCGGCCTGCCAAGACCCCATCTGCCCACTTGTCATCCAAGGACCAGCGTGGGCGGCCGGTAGGCTCCTCCGCCGCACTAAATCAAGGCAAGGGGCGAGTAGCGCCTTCCAAACCTACCTGGAGTTTGAAGAGACCACAGTCGACGCGCCGTATTGATACCACTAGAGCTACAACTTCCAGGAAACCATCGTGCAACCCCTAAGAAAGCATGCGTCCATTTCTGGAACTTGGTGAGGCGTCGATTTCGCTGCTACCTATTCCGGTGTCAGCTCCAGGCATGCTGGAAGTATCGAGCATCATACGCCAGAAAGCGAGTAGACCGAACTATCATGGACCCACAAAAAATTTACAAATTGAAACTTACAACACCCAACGCAGGTAAATTAGATGAAGACGCTGCGGACAACCGAGACACGTATTCATGGTGGTGCAACACCAACAGATTCATTCAAGGCACGGAATGAACATGGCTAACAGTAAGAAGGCATTAATTAAAAAAAACTGAACATGTTTTACTTTACTTCACTATACTGCACATCTACGTTGGCCCAGCGATGGCGCGTGGGCGTAGGCGCTGCCGACGTGTTCGCCGAATGACGGCGCTCACAGCTAAAGTTTGTTGAGCCGAGGTTCCAGCTTAAAACGTTGCGTGCACTCGGAAGATTCCGCGCTACGTAGTTTTGCCACGGGTTTTTGATTGTCCGTATCGCTGAAAAGCCGACCACTACGGAAAACCCGTAGTCAAAACCACGTATCAGCGCTACGTGTTTTTTACTACGTATTTATAGAAATACCGTGCTTCTGAAAGCCTCTAAGTATTTAGATTGTACACGTGCATGTTCGGTTATCTTCCTGCCAGCCACGCCAACAGTGGGTATCAGTGACAAATATTGGGCTCATGCACGGCTGTTGATTTCTCCGTTGCAGAATAATCGCGATGAAACATACGTCGTCTCGGTTCCGTATGGCTGGTTGAAGCTCTCATAGGCAGCGCGCTGCAGCTCAACTGCCCACCACTCAGCAGCGCCTTGTGCTTCCTGACAAAGATTTTTGTGTTGTCGTTCAGTGCCATCACATAAAGCGAGGTCGTGCAGTGATCAAGATCGTTCCACTTCAAATTTTGCCAACTGCGTCACACTTCAGCAAGTCCCCCGTCGGCTGGTCAAGATGAAGGTTCTCTCCGCTACTGTTGCTGCCACCGCTCTCGTCTGTATCGCGTCCCCCATCTGGGCCCAGAGCAGTGTGCCCTCCACCAGCGGCTCAAGTGTTGGGCTCACCCACGCAGAAACTGGCAACAGGACGGACATCCCCGTCGGCACCAAGACAACTACCCATGCCTTATCGCAACTGTGGACGGCACCAAGACAACTACCCATGCCTTATCGCAACTGTGGACGGCCCCAAGAAGTGCACGGGAGTCCTCATCGCCCCCAAGCACGTACTCATTACGTCAGGCTGCTTGACTCGCAACGTCCGATGGACATCCATCGGTGCACAGAAGTTCAATGCCACCAACGATGGCGAGAAGTTCAAGGTGAAGGCGATGCTGACCCACCCGCAGTCCACGACCTACACGAACGACTTCATGGTGCTGGAAATGGAGAAGGCCAGCGCGGTCACGCCCGTCGCGTTGGCCGCGACTGACGGTTCCGACAACAAGGCCGGGGAGCGGGCGCAATATCTGGGCTGGCGACACATTCAAGAAACGGAGACGACTTCTTATAGCCGTGGAGAGAAACTCCAAAGCTCAGAAGTGAAGATTCTGAGCAACGAGCAGTGCGCCACGATGATCAACATCGACAAGTCGAACCTGTGCGCAGGTGGAAACGCCAACGAAGATTCGTGCCAAGGTAGCTTCGGCAGTCCGCTTATCGTTGAAAAGGCCAACCAGGACGTCGTCGTTGGACTGACCAGCTGGATCTTTGACTGCAACTTGAGCAACACCCCTTCTATCTTTGCTCGTGTCGCGGGTGCGCGCGAGTGGATTGAGTCTGCTACCAAAAGTACGTGCTTCGTCTAGGAGAGACCTCGTTGATATCTAGCAAAAACGGAAAGTGATAAAACAAAAATCAAACTGCACATTTTTGTTTGTGTTTATTGCCTTTTTAAGCTTTTAACCCCCCCCCCCTCCCGCGCCCAAGCTCTTTTTTTACCTGTTTTTTATTTCACGGTACTCGCCCAACATGATAGTCGTACAGCATGTTAAAACCGCTCAACACTTAGTTTTACTATAGTCTCGTATAAGTTCGAGTACCGACTGTGTACAACGACGACATGACCATTTCGTCAAATCGTTTATCATGTTGTGCAAACAGCATGTACATGGTGTATATACACCGTGATAAAAACTTTTGATGAGAAGTCAGTGGTTTTTTATCAAGAGACAGGGCAAGGACCTCTAAGGGAGTGCAAAGCAGGGTGACTTGCACGGCATCTTGCACGAAAGCGACGACGCATCAAGTGAAACCGTTCATAAACCTAGCGCGTTGTAGCCTTGAACTATCACCTCCACATCATTTACCATCTTACTACAGAGGTCCACACACACATGCGCAAGCTGATCTTTGTATATCCCCTCAAATATGTTTCCATTGCAGGCTAAATACCACTCGATTCACTATCCTATTTCAAATTCCCTCTCAAAACACCATTTTACCTCGTAAAGTATCCGGGAGGATGGCCGGTATCTACGCTAGAACACGCTTCACGCTCAACTTTGCTACACTATCTACATCACTTCCTTGGGCCCTCTATAACGTGCACAGTTAGTTGCAAGTAATACACCACCAGTCAACTTACACAATACACTCAATAAATATCAAGTAATGGAATCGTTGTCAATTCAGTAGCGCCCTAAATCGAATCGAAGTAGTAACGGCATCGCTTTGTATTTACTCTAGCACGCGTTCGCACAGTTTATATCCGTGTAATCTGGTCCTCCGAACCCAAGACCTGTGCATTTTGCGGGATGGCCTGACTTATGCAGCTAACCCGCCCATGTTTTAACATGTTGTACGTACAACACGTTTCTTGGTGTATCTACAACGTGTGGGCGTTGAAGGGTTAAAAGCTTTAAAAAAAGCATATACCCTACGGTATTAACAAGCGATACCGGCTTAAAATGTAAGGTCAACGAAAATCTATTTGCTACTATCAAATAGTTGTTATACTAGAGGATTGGGCTGGTAGTGCACCTGAATATGCAATTTCGTCGAAGCAAACCAAAATTGTTCGGTTAAATGAACAGAAACTTGCCAACATTTGATACGCATCTGCTGCGCCTGCTTCGCACCCGCAGCATCTGCGGCGCCAGTGCTATTCACGGCGCGCCCCGGAAGTGATGCAGATGTGCAGAGCGATGTAGTGCAGGGGGTTGTTCTTAAACGGTGCGTGGAGCTGCTCCTCCGTGATCTCCTCGCCGAACTCGAGCGCCACGTGCAGGTGCGCCATACGGCCCTCCATCTTCTCCACGAGACTGGAAGCCGACACCTAGCGGTTGGCCGCGACCATGAGCGTTGAGCTGCGCACGTGGGCACTTCGTCCGACATGATGTTATTGATTGCAGATACACCAGCAACCAGTGACAGTTAGGATCCCAAACTCACTTTGACTTTGTGTGCGCAAGTGCAACTTCTCCTCTCCCCCTCGGATCGCCGCCACCAATGGGCAGTGTGGGACCCGGATAGGGCATCGAGATGCAGCCCTTGTAGGCCTGTTACATGCAGCGCCAACGCCATACAGCGGCAGCGAGGAGGCTGACTGGCAGCACCAACAATCAATAGTAAAAATGCATGACGGCTTACAGATTCATGCTATTTCTTCGCGTATTCTCAATATATTTTCGCATTGAATGATGTAGACTAGATATTGATCGACCATCGGCACCCAACGTTGCCACAAAATTAAATTCTCCGAGTAATCCTAAGAAAAGTTGTATGTAAATTTGCGAATTGAATGATGTATACTAGATATTGATCGACCAACAGCACAACCATTCAGCCACAAAATTAATTTCTCCGAGTAATCCTAAGAAAAGTTGTATGAAAACGCGGTGAAAATGATGAGTGATCTGGACTACAGAGCGCTCCCAGGACCACCACCTACGAGCGGTGTCCCGGTCCTCAGTTCAGCTTTTTCGGTCGCTGCAGCAGCCAACCCCCCCCCCCCCCCTCTCGTACTCACGGTAAGAAACTCCGCTGCTGTGGTGCCGAACTAGCTGGACTCACCTCGCCGCAGAAGCACCGAACGGACCGACACTCAGACAACCCCCCTCCCCTCCTGCGACCACCGGTATGTCGCCGCGCTACCTACCGTGCCTCGCTTCATCATCATCTCGCCTTTGCGCATGCTATCTTAGCCGCATACTGCTGGATGTGTATTAGACTTTAGAATTATTCTATCTTGGTCGCAGCGCGTCAAACATCCTCCGCGCTTTTGTAGATAGATCAAATATTGCTGCACAAACTAGTTGCATAGCAATTAGAAACCGGGTTGCCCGCTATCGGCAAATACCCTCTCCTCCTTCATTCAAACATTCAGAGCTGGCACCTTCGTACTTAACGTTTACTCTTAAGCTCTGGAAACGAATATCCTACTGAACTAGTTTGCCACTCCACCGAAAAAGCCTCTGCTTTTACGTGAATTTCAAGAAACCATGCCATTTCTGAGATTATTAAATGACTTTACTTGATTTCAGTATACTTTTACTTCATGTGCGCCACATATCAGGTGCATCGAAGTAATCCTGGTTGGGCTGTCCATACTTCGTAACCGAAGCACTACCAGGAAAAGCAATTGGTACACTCAATAATTGGTTTTGAGGTGCAGTATACGTATACTACATTAGCAATCAAAATTAAAACGACTTCATTTGGTCAACGCAATAATATGTTGGTAATTTTAGCATCATTAAAATATGTATACAGCAATTGACAATTCTTGTATTGTTAGTATTTCATGACGAACCTCTAACTTTCGCAGTCCCTCAGAGGACCGCTAGTACCAAGGCCCGTGCCGTTGCCATCAGTTATGGAGTCGATCCACCCTGTAACACTTGACACCCGAGAATAAACACCAGGGTAACCTTCTCGGCCGCACGTGTATCCTTGCTCCAACTCACCACGCCGATCAGTAGGTGCCCATTCCCGTATTTGCCAGGGGCGGCGACTAAAACCGCTTAACCAGCCGGAAGTCCGAGGAGGGAGTCAAGGCGGCACCTCGGCTGATTGCGTGAGCACGCGAGCATCATCGGGATCAGAAGAAGGAAACAAGAAGAACCAAACAAGTACCTCCAGTACAAGACGCGGGCGGTGAAGGCGCGAGTCGAAGACGGGCACAACAGCCGCGGGCGGCATAGCAGACGCTCGTGGAGGCCGCCACCTAGACCATTTGGCCCCGTCGGTTATCCGTTACGGAGCTGGGACCAAAATAACAACAGCTCTACGACAGAGTCGAAAACGGATACACGAAAACACACGTGTGTGCGCCCAGAAGAACCTCCCGCCCACACGCACACACAAACTTACCAAGAACAAGAACCCGCACCTGCTCTACCATGCCCTCCGCAGCATCGCCAAAAGCATGAAAAAAGAAGAGCGCGCTGAAGGTGACTGCTGATGGAGCACGCCGTGCTGTGCGACTTCCTATCGACGCGTTGACCTGTAAGGGCCATACCGATGGTGCTGATACCCGAGATGACGCGACCGCGCCGCGCAGTGAAGACGCGAACCAACGGCGTGCCTCGCAACACCCCGGGCCGGGCACGATGGAAGTGGATAGCGGTATGAGCATGCAATATGGAACCACGGACCCAAGCGACAATCCTGCTACTGACCAAGTAGAGCTGTCGGTAGACCAGTCAAGCTCTCAGGGTAGTCTCTCCAACGATGCGCATGCGGCAAATCCTAACCCGACAATGGTGCACATCGCTGACCATGAAGCTGAGGTTACCCTCGATCACGACCACCCAGAATCGGATTGGACTGCATTTGAAGAACGACTTCAGCAAACGAATATGATGATCGCATTTTCGATTAATGATGCCACTATCTTGGTGCCAAACCAAGGCTTCTGGGGCTTACCAGAACTGGCAACAGGAATCACCCAAGTTGCCGAGTCCAAAGGCGTTTGCTTTGACGCCCCGGGGCTGCTACCAACGGATGGCCAGGTGACAAAACTCCTCGGAAGACCGAACGTCAACGATCGTGCGCTGTGGAAGCTACTTCGCCGAGGATACATCAAAGTCCATGAGGCCACGATCTGGGTTAGCCCCGAGTTTACAGGGCGCCGGCAATCTAACCTGGATTTGATCGAAGTGGAGTACAGTAATGCTAATTACGTGTCGGTCAAGGATCTGCATGCCGTCCTGCAACGCTGGGGGGCGAGGGAAGCTATTATCGTCTCCCACAGCGCCAGTCGCATGCGCCACGGGAAATGGCCGGCTATAGCGTGCGTCATCAACGCTGTGACTGACCCCACAACTGGAGATCCGAAGTTCGCCTTCCGTCTGCTTCGAATGCTCCGACACTGCGAACCTGGTCTACCAAGCTTACTTAGAAAGAGACATCGACCCGCCCTTACGAGTCGAAGGCGGAAGAACCATCAGACTTGCACCCGTGCAGAACGTCGAATGGAGCAAGGACCGCTGGATGCTGAATCGCCCGTCAGCGGCGTCCGAGTTAGAGGATCTGAATCGCCGTCTCCACATCTTTGGTGTGCGACCGGAACTCCGACCTCAACAAATCCAGGATAAGCTGACACCCCTTGGGTTTGAGGGAGTCATCGTGATGATTCCGCCCGGACGATGGTGGGGAACGCTCACAATGCGGGATGAAGAAGACGCAAACAGACTCTGCGAGCGATACGGGGTCCAGCAGGGGCGGCGAATCTACATCGGAAACATCAAACGCTTCGTAAACAAGCCAGGCGAGGAGGGCGGTTTACGCTGCTTTCGTTGTGATCGCTCAGGGCACCTCCGTCGCGAGTGTCGGGAGCCCCGCTACAACAGGCCAGAACCGTTCGAACAACATCATGAGCGCGAGAGAGAAAGCCAGGCACTCCACGGCCGAGCGAATAGTCATTGGCAAGCAATTGCGAGAGAGGCAGAACGGAAGCGTGTCGACCACGCACGAGAGCCACACCTCCAAGCAGCGCGGACATTTCAACAGCAGATGTGGCGCCTACACGACGATGAGACCGAGTACAATGCCTTGTACCGACCCAGACGCATGCAGCAACAAGGAGCGACCTTGACGCAGCAGCAAGTATCACTGATGCGCGAAATGGTCGCATCACAAATTCGTGAGCAGTCACACGAAATAGTGCGTAGTATGGAAGGCCAAGTCCAACGCTACACGCATGAAGTTGACGCCCGCCTTCGAGCACACGATACAGCTATCCAGTCAATCCAAGAAGCTCAGGAAACTACAGCGTCGGAAGTACAGGGCATTGCAGCACTGCTCGGTCGAATGGCTAAACACCTCAAGGTTCCGGATTTTTGCGAGGGGAGTCGAGCTGGCGGGGGCGGCTCCCAGTAAAATACCGCATCAAACTAAGATGGCCCTGCATACTGGCAATAATGCTCGTAGTATTTGTTGTGTGCTGCAGCCCGGAGGGTGTAACAGGGGCTGAATTATCGCGAGGGGAAGTGCGTCGGTGGACTACTGACGAACATGTGCAGGAAGAACGTGGGGACACGCCGGAATCCTCGGACGACTCAAGCAATTCGGAAGTGGAAGACATACGGCTTCATTTGGAGCCTGGTAGAACACGATCAGCGCGTCATCAACGCGGACGCTGCCGTCGTCGCTGGCGGTCACATGCGCATAGACGACCGCACACGGATAATATCGGAGAACGCGCCGTGCTTGAGGAAGTTCTGCGGCGAGAACACTACGCGGAGCAATTTCTTGGAGATCGAGGCGATGCTCCAGCCGCTGGAAAGGACAACGTCATTCGCATCGCAACGACTAATATTAACAAAGGTTTTTGGGAGAAGATGACCAGGGAGATATGTCCCTGGTTTATCGCTTACCAACTTGATATTCTAGTAGTTGCGGATGCGGCTCTGCCAGACCAGTCGGAGTAAATTGTCTGGAGTAGATCACTCAACGGTACCAAAGCTCCTGCGCTACTGGTGATTGGACATCGCCGTGTGGGAATCGTGATCGACATGGAGAGATGGCAATTACGGTAGAAGCAAAGTGCTACGTGTTGTTCACCGTCAGGGCGATCCATCAGTATCATCCTCAGGCTTGGAAATCGGCAGCATCTGCAAATAATAGGGACGTACTGCCCGGACATTCCACAGAGAAACACAGAAGCCACGACGGCAAAGCGACTATGGATTGGACTCCAGCTAGAAAAAGCTAGAAGCGGTGGCTATGTGTCGGTGGTGGCCGGTGACTTCGACGCGTAGCCGGATGAAAGCATGGACCGGCAAGGTGAGGGTCACAGAAAAGCATCAGCACGTCGTGCCAGCGATGATTTCAGGGCGTGGACTACTGAGCAAGGCTTGATGTCGTGTTTTAAGCATCGATTTCCTACCCAGCCCAGATTTACGTACCAAAACGGAAGCACCCGGACAGCATTGGACGATATCTACATCAGCGGCAGACACACCCACCAGATCCAACAAAGCCGTATATGGCTATACTCTTTGCACCTAAGTGACCACGTCGGAGTACCCTTCGTGTCGATCGCACTTGGCCACGTGCAACACACCCCCGCACGTTTAAAAAATGTCAGGGCATTCAAGGTGCTACCTGTCAAAGGAGCCTCCAAGGACGAACTTCATAGTTTCAAGACGCTCCTGGCGGGCCAACTAGCGTCGGGCACGGTGCGACTAATTGACCCTCTGTGCGGGGAACCCAACGCTGATGCTGATATTCAAAACTGGCTGACCAGCGCTATTGATAATCTGTACAAGTGCATGTACCAGGCAGCGAAACGGACCTGGGGCGAGCGCAGTCAAACTCGCAGAGCAATCGACCGAGCTGTCAGCATCAAGCGCACAACACGGTGTCATGACCAACTCAAAGCTGCTGTTCGCCGACTTCAAAAGCAGGCCGGCGTAGACGAAGACGAACTACGCAGAGAGTATCAACGCGTGCAATGTCGAAAATGGGTCATTTTTCCAGAACGTATACCAGCTACTAGTCCCCATGCGGATGGTGCACTGTTGCTGAAGGAGTGGCGGCTATCAGAGCAACCCTGCACACGTCCAGAGTTCGATGAGTGGCTGGACACGGGATGGAAGCTGTGGAAAAGAACTTTGCGGTCGCGGCGACAATGGAGACAACGTAGACGAAATGAAGGCAAGCGCGTGCAGCGAAAGACGTGGATGGCAAACGGCCAAGTTAAGAAACTATTGCGGTCTACAATAGGGACTACGCTGCCACCTGTACAAATTCAAGGTGGACTTGTAACAGGGTTACACGCACAAGTGGCTACAGTCACTTGTAACTCTAACAGACACGACGTCTGTTAGAGGTTCGAAAGACTTTCTCGACCTTGGTGTAGACACACCAAAGGCTACATACATTTACGACCACCACGAGGGGTGGTCCATAGAGACTTAAAATTCCTATTGGCTGAGAGTAGCATCTCTTAGCCAATGAGCGACATGCATAGCATTAGAATTCTGCCAACCAGCCGTTGGCAGATTCCTATCTTAGAATATTGAGGAAGTCAGAAACATTAAACAAAAATAGCAGTTCTCATTTTAATCCAAAAACATTATTTGGATCGTTTATTTAGATTAATCTATACTCGGAGGCCCGAGTTTAATTAACTCTAGTTTAAACTACGCTACGTTTCCTCACCCACGTGCGCGCACGTGTAAGCTAAAGTAGCGAGTCAAAGTAGGCCCATTACACCTGGTAGCACTTTGTAGTCCGTCCAACGACCGACTACCTGAGTTCGTACGTCACCGCACGAACGCGGAGCTGAGAACCTTCCCATGGATACGGAGGTGTCCATGGAAATCTCCACTACGCCTGCAACTCACGTTGCACGCGCTGACTGTCCCCACCTGTCGGACCCAGAGTGGGGAGCTCTCCAACGACTGTCAACAGCCATTGGTGAGGCGGCTGTAGCTACGATGCTGCGTACGCTAACGCCGACAGAGCAACATGGTGTTGCTCTGGGATTCATCATGAGGGAGCAGCGAGATGCTGCTTCGTCTACCACGGTGTCGTCCGGGACGACAATCGCTAAAGCTCAGTGTGAGTAACTATGTCGGAAGAGAGGGTGAACCTCTCCTCCGTTGGCTTGTCGAACTTGACACTGCCATTGCGGCTCGACGTATCGTCGACCCGTTGCCGAAGGTTGCGTTCGCCATGTCATGTCTTGGCGGACGTGCTAGAAGTTGGACGCCGACTCTCGGATCCTACGTGCTTTAGCACGTACGAGAGTTTCAAGGAGGAGCTCAGACAAGCGTTTGAGCCCCCGCAAAACGAGTTCCGGTCGAGGGCGGAGTTCCTCGACCTGCAGCAGGGCAAGCATGATGTCCATGCTTACGCTCAGAGAGCACGATACTTGGTCTCGAACATCGTGACCAATCCGATCGATGAGGCGACCAAGGTCGTCACGTTCATGAAGGGACTGAGAGATGGGCCTGTGAAGACCTATCTCTTCCGTGAGTACCCGAGTACTCTCGAAGCTGCAATTACTCTTGTAATGCAGGAGGAGTTTAGCCTGCGGCAGGCTAAGCTGCATGCACATGTACCGAGGCCACAGCAACGCCCGGTAGTGAGGACGGGAGGCCCAGAACCCATGGATCTCTCGAGTGCTGCAACTACTGGACCCCAGCAGTCGCAGGGAAACAATGTGCGATGCTACCGTTGTGGTAGAGTCGGTCACTTTGCTCGGGAATGCACGGCCCCCGTGCACCAGCAGGGTGGCTATCGCGGCGGTGCCGGGCACCGTCGCAACCAAACAAAACACGCTGGACGCCAGTAGGCGCGGGGCGCCCTACTGGTAATGCAGTTCCGCGTATCGACCTTGGACACGCGACACTGAGGACTGCAGCCCCCAGTGAGGTTCATTCTCACTGCAAGAACCAAGATGACAAGCCTGACCTTGTCATCCTGAATGTGAACTCGATGAGAGTAAGCGGTTCTCTCCGTGCTTTGGTAGATTCTGGCGCGTCGAAGAACTTTGTTCGACTGCGAAGTCTATCAAGGCTTGACTTCGAGGATTTAAAGATACCTCGAAGTATGTTGGAAGTACGACTGGCAACGAGTGCCGTCGTGAAGACCGAGAAGCGCATGGTACGCGTGCGCTTCACGTATGAAGATCAAGAGTTTGTCGAGACCTTTATCGTCCTGGATCTGGACGATAAGTTTGACATTGTATTGGGCATGCCGTGGCTTGCACGGCATGATCCGGTCATCGATTGGGAGAAGCGCACTCCCGTGCGCTTCGTTCGCGACAGCGGAACAGTGAGCGATGGCCCTGTTGCCGCTACGTATGCACCGACAGGTGCGCGCGACTCCCCACTCGAGACAGCGCCTAATGCCGCTGTCCCGGAGCGCCCTGGGCGCGCGCGAGCACGCGCGCAAGAGCAGCTAGCGTCGGCGTTGCCGCCGACAGCTAATGAAGGGAATGTGTTGACCTCGGAGGTCGACACCCGCTTTTCAGCGAATCAGGAAGACTCTCCGACCTCAAGGGGCACGGATGACGCAGGCGAGTCACACGCCTCAGCCGTGGAGGCTGAGGCGAATCTCATTGGATCAGTTTTGGCCAATAATAAGCGCCAAGGTGACGAGACGCCGTCGACTCCGGGAGTCGATGGCTTGGGTGAATTTGATTCGTCGGCTCGGGGAGCCGACACACCCTCCGTAATGGAGGGCTCCGCCAATAACAGGCGTCGAGGTGAAGATGGCGTGTCGGCTCCGGGAGCCGACGCTGCAGGCGGTGCGGACGGTTGCAAACGTTCCGCACCGGAAAAACTTGCATGCTGTTGTGCAGCCGGGCTGCACGACGAAGCGCCCGGGGACGAAGCCGGGCTTGAAGTCGCTCGCCCGCGGGATGAACCCGCCGGCGGTACTGAAGAAGAACACCCGTCCACGGCTGGGCCTGGACGAGGTCAAGAACCAAGCGGAGCCGGGCTCCGCAAAACAAGAAGACGGCGCATGCGAAGGTCGCTGGGCAAGTCTCGGCCTGGGGCCGAGACGCTACAAGGAATGTCTGCCGGGCAGACAGAGGCTGAGATGCCGGAGGTCGAGACGTTGAACGTCTTGACGCGTACCTGTGCCGGGTTCCGGTACAGGGAGATAACTCTCGCTAATCCTCCGACGCAAGCGTCGGAGTTGACTTCGCTTCCAGTCATGAGCTGGAAGCGCTTTGCGCGTGACTTGCACGATGGACGCATCGAGCAAATATGCATTCTCTCGGACGCCGAGAGAACGAAGAGCGAGAATGAAGAACTGAGGCAGTTCTTCATGGAGAGCACCACTGAGAGCGAGGACACTCTCAGTGCGAAGACGAAGAAGGAGCGCTTTGAAGAGCAGAGCTGGGACTCGTTGAAGACGAGTCCCTACTACGAGATCTTACGGGAGTACGCGGACGTGCTTCCGGAAGAGATTCCTGCGGAGCTTCCGCAGGATAAGGTTATCCAGCACGAGATAGATCTCGTGCCGGGGACGAAGTACTGTGTCACGCGGCAGTGGCCACTGCCGCGAGAGCAGGTCAAGGCGATCGACGACTTCTTTGAGAGTCGTCGCAAAGCTGGACAAGTGCGGGAATCGAAATCCCCGCACAGTGCTCCGACGTTCTGTGTCAAGAAGCCACAGGGCGGTTGGCGCATCGTTCATGCGTACAACAAGCTGAACGATGCGACGATACCGGCGCAGACACCGATACCGCGAAAAGATGTCATCATCGATTCGATGGCCAGAAGCACTATCTACAGTGCTCTTGATCTACGCGATGGGTTCTATCAGATCCTCATGCGTGAGAGCGATATCCCTCTCACGGCTGTGAGCATGCCGAGCGGCCATGCTCTGGGAGTGGCTAGTGATGCCGCAGGGTCTGAAGAACGCCCCTGCGACCTTCAACAGGTGCGTGACACACTTGTTTTTGCGCTCGGTGCGCGACTTCGCACCGAGCTACTTCGACGATGTGTTCGTCCACAGCCGGGCTGCGGACGGGATGAGCGACGTCGGGATGCACAAGGTGCATTTCCGGAAGCTGCTTGCGCTCATGCGCAAGCACAAGCTCTATGCGAACCTGAAGAAGTGCATCTTCCGGGCGAGCGAGATACCCGTGCTCGGGTGTCTCGTTGGGAAGAACGGTGTCCGCCCTGACCCTGAGAAGGTCAGAGTGATCAATGAGTGGCCGACGCCGTCGAACGTCAAGGAACTGCGGCAGTTCCTTGGCTTGGTCACGTACTTGTGCAAGTACGTGAAGGACTACGCGGGCATGATACGCCCGCTGTCACAGCTCCTGAAGAAGGACGCCGAGTGGGTTTGGACTGCTGAGTGTCAGCAGGCCTTCGATGCAGTCAAGCGGGGCTTGACTGAGGCGACGATCTTGGCGGTGGCCGACCAAGATCGCCCATTCCACGTTGTGTGTGACGCATCCGACTTCGCAATCGGATGTGCGTTGATGCAGCACGATCACGAGGGTCGTGATCGTGTCGTCTACTACCAATCGCGTCAGCTGAAGCCAGCTGAGCGCAACTACCCGGTACATGACAAGGAACTCCTTGCCATGAAGTACGCACTCGCGAAGTTCCGAGTGTATCTACTCGGAAGCAAACCGTTCGTGGTCTATACAGACCACGCGTCACTGCAGATGGCTGTGAAGTCGCCGCACATCTCGCAACGGATGGCGAGATGGTTCTCATTCTTCGCAGAGTATAACTTCCGGGTTGAGTACAAACCCGGAAGACTCAATGTGGTGGCCGACGCGCTCTCGCGTCGACCTGACTACGCCACGACTGATGCCGACGTCAATGCCATTGAAGCCATGCGATCGAGCACCCCAACGTCGTCACTGTTGGACGACGTGAAGGTCGCGGACGCGCACGACGCGGACGCGAAGATCTTGCTGGCCTACGGCTCAGCGCCTTCTGACAAAGCTCGTCAGAAGTTGCCGAAGCATCTTCGTGCTCGTGCACACCGTTATCGGGTGCACGACGGGTTATTACTCTATAGTGCAGTCGACGACAACGCGGTCCGCGTTGTCGTGCCCAATGACCATGACCTGCGACTCAGGATCATGTACGAGTATCACGATGCACCGACTGCGGGGCATCCGGGCCGTGAGAAGACATACCTTCTTCTCACGCGAGACTTCTACTGGGCCCACCAGTACAAATGGGTGCGCAAGTACGTCCGTGCTTGCGAGGTTTGTCAACGAACAGACGCGCCGTCTGCTTCGCAGTCACTACCAACTCCACGAGAGTGTTGGCAGTCCATGTCTTTGGACTTCGCGTTCGGTCTTCCCCCGGACAGCCAGGGGAACACGGGCGTTGTGGTTTTTGTTGACCGCTTCAGCAAGATGGTACATCTTGCTGCGGTACCCGCTGAAGTGACTGCGAAGCAGACGGCGCGTCTGTTCGTTGACATGGTGTTCAAACAGCATGGCATGCCGATCGACATTGTGTCGGATCGGGACCCGCGCTTCACTGCACACCTTTGGCAAGAAGTGTTTACACTTCTTGGGAGTCAACTTTCGATGTCGACTGCGGACCATCCGCAGACGGACGGGCAGACCGAGCGCGTGAACCGCGTGCTCGTAGACGTGCTTAAGAGCTACGCTCACTCGTTCCAACACTGGAGCGAGTGTCTGCCGATGCCGGAGTTTGCCATCAACAAATCGGTGCATGCCTCGACCGGGCATACACCGTTCTACGTGAATGCCATCAGGCACCCACGCCTCCCGAGTCTACTCGGGATGGTGGCTCCTTCCTTAAGTGGGGGAGGATCTACGACTGCAACACAGCAGCCGCAGAATGCCGCTGACACTTGCACAGTGTCAGCCGCGACTACGCGCAAGAAGAACAAGAAGCACGCGTCTGTGCAGGGCACAGACACCGTGAAGACGAACGCAGAGGCCGGGTTTACTGCTAGAAACGAGCTGAACGAGTTCAGCTCGGACGCAATTAACTTCGTGCAGCGCAGACAAGCCGTCATTCGGCTTGTCCAAGACGCTGTCGCAGCTTCTGTCGACCGACAGAAGCTGAACGCAGACAATGTTGGTAGGGGCAACACTAATGAATTCAAGAAGGGTTCATTGGTTTTGTTAGCAACTCAAAACCTGCCTAAACATGCAGTTTCCGACTTCGGAGCGAGCTTGCTCGCTCCGCGCTTCTTCCCGTTCACGGTGTTGGCACGGGATGGCAACGCCTACACACTAGATATTCCATCTAGCATGCGCCTCCATCCGACCTTTTACATCGGGCGGCTGAAGTCATACCTGCAGCACGAGCCACCTAGCTCGGCTGGCCCCGAAGCGGAAGCCCCAGCGGGAGCGAACCTCTGCTCCAGCGCGTGAACGCGCTGGGCCAAGCGTGCGACGCGACCTCCCACGTCGACAGAGATGTTCGACGCGGTCTGCGAGGCCTGAGCGACTTGAGCCCTCAGGATCGCCACCTCCTGCTTCAGAGCGGCGAACTCCCGGCTCTGATGCTGTTCCACAGCAGCGACCCGCTCCTCGAGCGTCGGGCCAAGGTCAACCCCAGGTTGACCATACCCGGGGCGTGTTCCCACCACCGCCGCCTCCGATCCGCGACGCCCGCGGCTCAACACGCTGGATTGTTGAGCGTATTGTGAACCATAGTATCCCGAAAACGAACCGGCAGTCGGTTCGTTATCGTATTCGTTGGAGAGGGTTTCCGCCCCACCAAGATATATGGGAGCCACGGGACGTCCTGCTGCAGGACGTGCCGGAAATGGTGAGGGCGTACGAAGCTCACCACGCACTGCCGACGCGAAGGTAGTGCGAGCGCTGTGGTCACCTACAGCGCCCGAGGTCCCACGATCGTCGCGTTCCTCGCGTGCCAAGAACTTGGCACGAAGATCCTTGGGACTCTCAGGTACACGAATCGTCGTGAACCCGTTTAGGTCGCGGTCGCTCAAGCGCGCCGCACCCGGAAGCCACAACGTGCACTGTTGGCCTTCGGGCGCAGCGCATGGAATACCAGCGTCCACAGAGGATCTGTGGAGCTGCTCCAGCCTCCCGCGCGTCGAGAATGTCTCGAAGCGTTCACGGGCACGCTTAACCCGCTCGTGGTAAGCAGCCGGTTTCTGGTTGAAGTTCTCAACAAAAGCATTCCAACTTTGACAAAGTGCCTGCCACTCAGGTACTTTGCTGCGAGAAGAGGTCTTCTTGCTGGAGAAGTACCGGAGCTCGTGGAAGAGCCCGATGTAGTAGTCGCGCCTTTGATTCGTTAACGGATCAAAGTGCTGCTCCTCCGCAACAGCATCGTCGTGGATACCGCTGCATACGTACAGCGGGATTTCGTTTGGAGGCACAGTGTTGCCCACACGGTCTGCGATCTCTGACGCAGACGGCATCCACGGATCACGCGCTGCCTGAGCAGCGCGCGGAGAGCTTGAAGGCGCTACCTCACGCGGGGAGCTTAAAGCCCCAGCAGCAGAGAGCGGAGTGTCGCTCTCGCCGCGCGAACGCTTCGAGCTCGAAGCGTCCGAGTCGTCTCCTTCACGAGGGCGTCTCGACCCGGCATGCGGGTCGAGACTATCGCTGTCGATAGACTCCTTGCGCTTGCTAGAAGAGGCCTCGCCCTCTTCCATCTCCACGTCGTCGTCTTCGTAGTCAACGGCGTTGTTGACTACAGAAGAACCTTCGAGGACAATCTCTGGTTGAGTTGTCCCCGCCGCAGCCTTGGAAGCAAGAGCGTCACGCTTTGCTTTGAGACGCTCGCGGTACTCGGAGATAGAGAGAGTCTCTATCCCGGCGGAGGACTTCCCCTCTGCTGTAGCGTCGGTCTTCTTCTGAGGCGAGCTCATTGCGGAATGAGCTCGAGTTTCTTTCTCCCAACGTGAAGAATTGACGAATGGTCAATTTCCTGATTGACGTGCGGTGACTCGGCGCGTCTAACCTTGAGGGGGGATGGTGTAACAGGGTTACACGCACAAGTGGCTACAGTCACTTGTTACTCTAACATATGCGATGTCTGTTAGAGGTTTAAACACTTCCTCGACCTTGGTGTAAGGTACACCAATGGCTACATACATTTTCGACCACCACGACGGGTGGTCCATACACATTTAGGATTCCTATTGGCTGAAAGCAGCATCTTTTAGCCAATGAGTGAATTGCATGTTAGCAGAATCCTGCCATCCAGCCGTTGGCAGATTCCTAGCTTAGAATATTACATTTAGAGGAAGTCAGAAACATAAAACAAAATAGGAGTTCTCATCTTTTACCAAAACCCGCTACTTGGAGTCTTTATCTTGTTTAAAGTATACTCGTGGATCTCGAGTATACTTAACTCAAGTAAAAGAAACCTACGCTTCCTCATACACGTGCGCATACGTGTAAGCCGTAGCAGTGAACCAAGGTAGGCCCACTACACCCATGGAGAACGAGAAGGCGAAACCACCATAAAGCCGACCCTAACTACACTCATACTCATACTTTCACCACTACTTTCATTCCTCGCTGACAACGTGGTATTTCAGAGTCCGTCGACGTGAACTATTAGGTACTCGGCCTCTCAATATCCTCCTCATTCGTGCATCAAGCTCGGAATGCGCTTTGCATAGGCAACTACATCAATAAGAACCAAAACAGGAAGGACTACCAAGAATGCAGTAGCAAAGCTCAGTCAAGAAATAAATCTAGGTTATATTGTTTTAAACCAAGGTAAAACCAAAAACCTAATTAATTTTGAAAAAATCGGCAGGTTTTACCAGCCCTGCACTCAAGACATCAAGCATTGTACCGAGTGGCTCCAAGACTTACGTTGCCGGGCTACGATCTAGTGCGGCGGGGAACATCTTCTGCAGCGCTGCCCTTATCACCCTGACCCACCTACTGGCCGGCACGTACTGCTACTCGGGCAACCTTCGCTGGGCCTCGATTGGTTCCCATTACGTGAACGGGACCCAAGATGGAGAGCAGATTAAGGTTGTGTCGGTTCTGCAGCATCCAACAAGTTCGAGCGATAACTTTTCAAACGATTTTGCCATTCTCAAGCTGGAGAGACCGAGCAAGTTCAAACCCGTGGCGCTTGCGGCAGCGGATGATTCCGATGCTAAGGACGGCGAGTGGGCCGCGACAATGGGGTGGGATGACACTGCGGGCGAAAGCACAATGGCCGATGAGCTGACGCGCGCAAATGTTCAATTGATGAGCAACGCGGAGTGCGCCAAGGAAACGGCCATTGACGACACGATGCTGTGCTCGCGAGGTGTTGCCAATGTGACGTCCTGCACGGGTGACTACGGAGGCCCTGTGGTTGTTGAGCGCTCTAGCGGTGACGTTGTATTGGGCATTGTGAGCTGGGGCAACGACTGTGGTCAACCGGGGTATCCCAGTATCGTGTGTCAAGTGCTCGGGCGTGGATCGAATCTGTCGTCACAGGTGTATGCTTCCACTAAAACAACGCAATCGAGCAAATCCGCCGACTTACCACAGCAGTATAAGTGTCCGTGCTCGATTTGCAAGCGAAAAAATTGGAAAACTCGAAACATGTCAGAGGGGGGGGAACTTTGTAACGGATTTTTACGAATATAGTGGCCAGTCTTGTATTTATTAGTAGCCTCCTAATTTTGACCGGGAGCGATTTCCGCAGCAGTCTGTGCCGGAACAGATCCCAGACAACATGCAGAAAAAAGGTCTGTAACCGTCTCCCCAGCCAATCATAGATCTGGGCGGCCTAGACTTGTCCTAAATACTGCGGGAATCGCTCAATTATTCTTGTTAGCAATATCCACGCCACCTGCGCTTCATGCAGTTTGCCAGGGTTCTTGTAATCGTAAAAATCCGTGTAGTAGCGGCTTCAGGGACTATTATCCGAGAATATGAAAGGAAAGGAATCTGCGGCATTTTCTACCGCTAGTTTTTGAAGAACTTTAGACGTACCGAGATATCTCGATACTGAAGACTGGGTTTTTCACTTTTTGATATGTATCTCGAAGCTTGGCGTGGCCCAGTTCGCCTTAGAGATTGTAACTCGACCAGGGGCTCTAACAAAAGTACTTCCCTTTTGGGAGATGAATTACAAAAAAAAGAATTGTACACCACAGCACCCAATCTGTGTTATCAAACCAAAATCTGAGAAACGATTGAGCTTCGACTGAACACCTTACCACATCAGCTTCCTGGGAAAGTTTTTGTGCGAGCCAAGTGCTGTAATATAAAATCGGAATGACTCGTTACTTAAGTATGTTAAATCGATCACAGATCTCTAAGGGGTGTTTCTTCTTCTTCTTCTTCTTTTCTTGTTGGTACTACAATAAACCAATCGTGTAGCACGCGGTCACAAATAAGGCGAAATGCCAGCGCTCTATCAACACGCGTCGTGGTACACTTACTGAGTCTTCGTGACGGAGCTAATCCACTCAATAGCGGCCGACACGCGGGAGTACACCGCAGGGTAGCCCTTGTCGCCACAGCCAGCACCCCAGCTCACCAAACCGATCAAAATGTCGTCACCATCGCCGCGGCCCTTTTCCTTGACCAGCGGGCCGCCAGTGTCCCCAATGCACGAGTCCCTACCGGCAGCGCCGCCAGCGCACACGGCCGAGTCGTCCACAGTAAAGATGCGCTGGCAGTCTTCGTTGTCCCAGACCTCCAGACCGACACTTTGCAGCACCTCGGAGCGCGTGCCGTTGGGGAAGCTGGTATCGCCCCAGCCCATGACCTTCGTCCACATACCCGGAACGATATCCGAGTTGTCCGACTTCGGGAGCTTGATGGGGGAGAACTTGCTGGGCTTCTCGAGGGTCAGCACGGCGAAATCGTAGGACAGGCTGGTCGCGTTAAGCAGCGTGTGGTTCTGAGCCGACACCACCTTGATCTGCTCGCCGTCCTTGGTACCGTTGATGTAGTGCGTTCCCACTGCCACGAAGTTCGGCGCCTCGAAACCCGAGCACGTCGCAGTAGTGAGCACGTGCTTCGGGGTGATAAGAGCTCCACCGCAGTACGTGTCTCCGTCGGCGGTAGAGCGGATGCCAGTCGAGTACGCCTTCGTGCCGATGGGGACCTCTCCGCCGCCAAGGACGAGAGCGCGCTCGACGTGGTCAGTCTCGGCGGTGACAGCGCCCAGAGCAACGGATGCAGCAGCGAGAGAGGAGATAAGCTTCATTCTGTCGATAATGTAGAAAGCTCTGTGCAGTCCGTGGTAAATCCTAAAGTGGTTTGAACGCAGGGTCACTTGCCAAAAAGGTACATGCGTACATGTAACACGCTCTGCGACAGCAGGATGTTTTTAGTGAATTGAACCATTGCAGCGACATACGTGAGTTATATGTAATAGTACAGATGTAGAATACTACCCAGGATAACCCGATTTGAAAACGTGTGGGTGGAAACATACCCTATTAACGACGGGAAACACGACTGTGTGCAATTGCACAACAAACCCGTTCCAAAGATTACGAGTGAAGGCAGCGGATTCACGGGTTCATTTAACACGGAATAGGTTGGGACAATGCTCCTTCTGGCAAAATGGTTAGGTAGAAATTCTTGTTCCACGGGAGAATAGGTACCTACTGTACATGTGGACAGTAGGTATTTACAAGCACAGTGTGGTGTATGTTCGCGATGCGATACCATCAGCATGGGTGGAAGCCTGCCCAAGTCGCTGATTCGCAGACGATGACGACCATTTTGTCTGTCCCGCTGGGGAATCGTGGGCTTTGAACGTCGAAGTTGCATCTTCCCCCGGGCCACGAATCTGTGGGTGGAAGTTGCCTCGTGGGTACGCACTTTCGGTGGCGAGTCGCGAAAGTCGGTTCCATCGACTTTCGCTGCTCAAAGCACGACAACGCGATCATAACCAGACAGATGGGATTAATTCGAGCTGGTGCTGGTTAGGGGAGGAAATATGAAAAATCCACAGCTTTTTGAGGGATAATCCACAGCTTTGCGTCTCCAGTCCACAGGGATTGACGACGGAGCTGGCCGATGGGTACAATAACAGGCTGCCAAGGACAAAGTCCATCAATCTGCGGCGACGGCTGTACCATTCTTGAGGTACATGTATAGCGAGCTACCTTCAGGTACCCAGGTCGGAAGCACATGCAGCAGGTGCTGAGTGTGCAGGTTCGGGCGTCAAGCGCGGGGAGCAGGTGGGTACAGGCAACATCTATGGGTACGATACTTAGCTGGCTGTTAGGGCAACAAAATGCAGTGTCGGCGTCGAGCTAACTCGCAATACTGACGTTACTGTGGATGAAAATGCAGACTCCAAGATCCTGCTTGCCGGGCACGGGTGGCTCTGGGGCCGTAGAGGATGGCGCGTGGCCATTTTCCGCAGGTGCGCGTGCAGCGGCATACTTGTGTGGTTATAATGATGCTATGCTTGTAGGCTAACGTGCTATATTGGTGGTGCTGTGAACGAATAGGAGGTGAAGTGTGGATTGGCGCTCGAGGGGCCAATACGCGCATGCCATGGACCCCATGGTACGTGTTGGGCGTGCTGGTGCATCCGGTGTTTTTGACAGCAGCACCTGGGCGCGCTATACGTGGACGACCGTGAGCAGCAGCGCAAGAACTGCTGCATCGCGTGCAAGATCGGCGACTTCAGGCTCAGCGCGGACGAGGTGCTGCGCGGCCGCCTACGACGCGATGCCCAAGGTGGCGAAGGTGGCGCGCCAGGAGGCGTACGACACGATCGCAGCCGGCAAGTAGTCGCGCGTCATCATGCTCGTGCGCTTGCCGCTCATATCCGACGCGTCGTGCGCGTTCGACACGTTCTGCGAGATGTTCGTGGCCAAGGACATCAACGCGTACCCCTACGGGTCGCAGCGGTTTGCTCCGTTCGCCTGCTTGTTGCAGGACAGGCTGCTCAGCGTGGCGGCGTGCGGACGGATGAACTGGTAGAGCTACAGCTAGATGCACAGTTAGGGTCGTTCATGTACAATAATTCCTTTAATGCTATTAGAATATTTGCTAGCCATGGTCATGTTATGCGCGTGGACGAATAATGCAACCATATCTAGATTGACAAGTTGTTGCGTGTCATGGCAATACGTACTACTGCTAGTAGATACTACGTAGTATGTGCGTAGGATAAGTTTAATGCGTAAGAGAAAGCTTACATGTTCAACTTGTACTGTATTGTTTGTTATTCTAGTCCTAATATGCGTGGAGTGAAACAACATGTGCACCTAGTATCACTACCAACCATGCGTGCAGATGCCCTGAAGGGAGCTGCTCACGCGGAACAACATCAACCTATCGTAGCTTGCTGTTGTTCCGCGTTGAGCACTACGTAGTGGGCGGCGTCACTTGCTGTCCGCAAGTTTAATCCTCTCGCTGGCGGTGGCGTTGTCCTTGCGCTTGAACTTGTCCCGCGACGACAGCGAGTGGCGGCGAAACTCCGAGTGGACCAACGGCGACGCCTCGCTGTCGCTGAGCGCCCCCATGACGCTCCGCGTCGATGCTCTTGTGCTCGGCGAGCACCCCTGTGTGCTGCTTCCAGCTTCATAACCTCTATACAGCAGCGTAGACACGTCAGCATTTAGAGTTAGTACGTCAACTATGCCACAAAAGATGGACCATAACACAGGTGCTCAGACGCACCTGCAGCCCACGCCAAGAGCGCGCTCCATCGAGAGGGACAGCCCGGAAACAGCCCGAACTGCAGCATCGAGTTTCATTTTAGCTCTAAAATCTGCGTAGAGACGCCAATTTAGAGAGTTAGTAGATCAAACAAGGTGTAAATGCTGCTGCTCACTACACCACAGTCACGTGCGGTGTCGAACGAAGCTCGAGTCTACTGCCAACAAGGCGAATCACTGTTTGTTCAACGTCTTCTCATTGTACTATTGCGGGTTTCGAGCTTCAGCTCCACCAATATAGCGAATTAGGTAGTAAATTAGAGTTCATTAGATGTGTGATGTCATGGCCTAATAGTTCTGCCTGAGGAACTTGGCTTTCGCTCAATAACACCAACAGCATCATCGACTTCACATTGCACTTCAATCGCATTTAGTGGTCACGCAGATAGAGAGAGATTCTGATTGGATCAAATATCAAGATAGAGAATGATGATGATTGGCTTAAATAGCTGTGGACTAGACATCCTGCATCTTGTGGATTGACTCTGGGAGCTGTGGATTTGCTCATTGAGCTGTGGATTATCCCCAGGTTCTGTGGATTGTCACCACCTGTTGTGGACTGACCTCGCAAATCTGTGGATTAAGACGATCGCTGTGGATTATCTTGAATTTCTGTGGATATTTTAGCCGTCCTCCTGGTTAGGGCATCCATCAAATCGGCCGTGACCGAGTTTTAGAAAAGTTTCGATGGCAAGATCCGAGTGCATGTAGGGCCCACGTCTTCTGTAGATGCAGCGTGATAGAGTACTATAGGGTAAGCTTCTAGGGAAAATATCACACCAGATGAATAACGCGTCGATGGACGAGTGGACGTAGTGGGCTTGTTTTAAAGCGTACGACTTCGGGTGAATATGGGTGGTTAAGGCGCATGCCATGTTGCTTCTCTAAGGGGTATCAATATAATCGAACATCGATGTGACACCTTGCTATTCGGTGGCCTAGGTCTACGGGGCACCAGGACTGAGGCAGGAAAGCTGCTGAAGCAGGGCTGGAAGCCGCGCCGTTCCATTGTGCTGGGCTCTTGGGACGGCGAGAAGTTCGGTCTGCTTCGCAGCACTGAGTTTGCTGACGAGCGCGCTGAAGAGCTGCGGTCGTGTGCATCAACATCGATAACGTCGTGGGCCCGCTGGCTCTGAACACGGGCACCCCGTCGATTGCCAAGTTCATCGAGAGCACAGCTAACGCCGTTCCTCCTACTAAGTAATGAGTTCATACGCTAGGGTGACATTCGCAACGAGCCTGGCCACAGCGTGTACGCACGAGGGCGCACCTCTTGCAGATCTACGGCGTGTACGACGGCACCTTGGCACTTGATCCAGTTCGTGGGCTCTGGTTTGGACTTCACGCCGTTTTACCAGCACCTTGGCGTGATCTCGGCTAACCTGGGCTTCACGCTCAACGACACCTACATGTACAACAACAACATGGACAGCTTCATGTACATGGAGACGGTGGGCGACCCGCACTACGCGACCCAGCTCAGTGGTGGAGACTCGTGACCATGCGTCTGGCCACCGATGCTGTCCTGCTTCGACTTCACTTCGTACGGCCTCGTGATGAGGCCTTGCCGGCTTCGAGGAGAAGATCGCGGCCATGAACGCAGTGTGTTCACGGAGCTTAGCTTGCGTGGGAAGCTGGAAGATGGTGTTCTGTTGCTGCTGTATTGGCAGTATTCCCATTCCCTTGGGGCCTTCCCATGCGATAATGCGGACAATTACGGTTTGCGAGAGAAGTGCACAGTAATAGTTTGTTAGAGTGGTTTGCAATGTAGACGATAGATATGTCCTCTTGAACTTGGCAAAACTATTTTTCCGGGTTATTCTCGTTAGTGAAAACATGCGCACATTTTCGCTAAGACAGAGTTCCGGGTAAAAGTTCCGGTCAGGGTGAAATAAGGGTAGTAACCTTACTGAGTAAGCCCCCCCCCGTCTTAAATTGTTACAACAGTTCAAATTGACCCAGTGAGCAAACTCAAATGAAATTTATTTGCTCCAAAGTAATATGGAGGGTTCGCGCAGCCCACGTGACTTGCCCAATACAAATCACAAGTGAAAACGTGACATTATGCAGCCAGCGCTCTAAAAAAGCGGGTGCGGTGCTCCATAGTTAAAGGATCGTACTTAGTCGCTAAGGGCGCCAGAAATGTATATATGACAAGCCAAGCGGAGCCCCGCAAGCGGGAATCTATGAACAGGGTTAAGCCGAGCGCGTGAGACCACCCGCCTCGCTTCGCTCAGCGGGGAAAAAATCAATCAGGAATTATTATCGTACTGATTTTAAAATTTGTATAGAAATGTTACAGATATTTTTTTCATGCCAAATGCTACTTCAGAGGCACAACTTGAGGGGCATCGGTCGCCAATGAGTAGCCTGTTCTGCTGCAGTCATGACGGCACAAATATAAACATCAAAACGGAACTAACTTGAACTTACTCGAAAGCTCAGACACGAATCAATTCTGACATGTTCTACATGGCGCTCAACGCGGCTACCTAAGCAAGCAAATTTACTCAGTACGCACAGATATTAATGCACTTGAATGCTTATACGAAGTCTGAATGCGCACGAAAACTACAGAGTACAGCGTTTGAGTATTCGAATCGTGAAAGCAAAAATGGGAGCAGCGTCGCCCACCACGATACAGCCCCAAACATATTGTTGCTACACCTAACAAAATAAAAAATAACCCCAAATATCGGTCGCGTGTGTCGTCTGAAGGGGGCAATTAACTCCTTCGCTGATGTCGCCTATCTGCGTCCTATGCCACAGGCTCGCCAAAGACTACTGAGGCTTGCTCGAAGGAACCATGTTTTAGTGGCATGGCCAGGGGTTCATACCAGCTCGAGTTTAGCTGGTATCCGGTATCTCGGCCTTCTGACGAAGCTGATATCAGCGATACTGATACTAATATCAACATCAATATCATATCAATATAATGATAAATATATTGATAAAATTGTACCTGCAGTAATTTGGCTAATGTCGCCGTCTCCTATTCTTTTGCAGCACTTCCTTGTATTCGGACCAATTAGCCTTCATCAAGCCCATCGTCTCCGCCCGGTCGTTATCAAGCTGGGTTCGCAACTCGTTCTCCACATAACCACTAAGACTGAAACATCGCTGTTGGTACACGGTAGATAGTGGTTTGGCGAGACAGATTCTCAAGCTTATTTTCAACCGAAAAGTGATGATCCTTGTGAGCTCTGAGCATGTGCTTCCTGGGGTTAGCAGTCGTCTGCTGCCGCATTAAGCATGATCTCCGTCCAGAAGAGGTCGGGTCCGTGCTTTTTTGTGTGCTGCGCACACGAGACAGATGTGGGTGAACGAGCTGCTTTTCTTCTTTGTGTCAGGAATCGGAGTAGCAAGTATATCCTAGACAAGAACAAACATGTTCTGGTTTGAGTGACGCACAGATAGTGGAATACCAACTCGACTCCAACCTCGCCTTCTTTATCTCTACGGCCACGATCACTGGGCGACGTATCCTCGTCGGCCATTCTCTAGAGAGCGCGCACGCAACCGAACCGAGATAGTAGTAGTAGACTTGTACTTGCCGTGGGCTTGTTGGGAGAAGTGGCTATATCTATGTGCGGTAGCGCACATGGAAATGACCTGGTTGGTGAAATCTACACTAGGTCGCAGGATATCGATATTTATATGCCGAAGTATCATAGGATCTCGATACAGCACCACCACCAATATCAAGTGATACTGATGCAAGTATCCGGCCATGCAGTATCGATATTTATTAGAGGTATCAGCCTTGACATGAACCCCTGGGCATGGCAGGTTCTAACTAAAATAAAGTGTATAAGCTGGCTAGTGGCTATCGATGTCTCCCAGCAACTTTTACTGGATCTAATACTGGATCTAATGAGACTCGACGACGATGGCAAGATGTTTTCTATTGATGAAGCAGCACACATGAACCTCACCACTATCATAACGGCTAGGTAGCCTACAATCTCCAATATTTGGTGTGCTAGTTACACTATAGTAGGACCTCATATGTATGTAATGTGAGGGTTCATTATGGTGTCTTGCTATTTACCGTTGCGAAGCTCAAAGATCTAATGGAGAAGGGTGACGAAGCCGGGAATGGCGACGCGGTGTATTGCGTTACTTGCCTAAACTAAACGCTAGTCACCATTCTACTCGGGCTATATAGCTACGTAGTCTACTGGGGAGCCGGCGATGCACTTAGCATTGCATATGCTACAATATGACAACAGTCACCCTATTATTGACGTCCTGTGTAGTTCCAAGTACGAGCGATTGCTAACGCGTGGAAACAGCAACCGGCAAAGCGAATTCAAGGTTTCTGTCTTGAAATTTGCAACAGCATCATGATGGCGCTGAACGAAGATGAAGACGCTCCAAACCTAGATGTCTGGAACATCCACTTCAGCACGCACACCACTAAGGACAAATTGACCACGAGAGGGTGAGTCCTCTACCACCAGACGGCCTCTCAACAGTGGATTCCCAGAAAAGCAGGAAGTCTCTACTTGGGGCTAACAAACACACCGACGGACGCCGCAGCACGAACGCTGAACCAAGGGTTGACAGAGCTCAATGTGATGACTACCCCGGGCTCGACGTATCTCCGCATTGATAGTGTTGACAAGAAACTACAAGTGCAGCTCCAACAACTCAAGGCTGACATTCAAGCAACGGGCCCAGTAGCCGCGCTCGCCAAGGACTTGAACGCGATTTTCTCAGTGCAGTGGGGTTCACCTGCTGGAACTAGGCTGGAAGTGGTGTTCTTGGCGATGAGCTTGGCGGAGACTGTGGTTACTGAGCTGGCATTGCCACATGACACCCAAGTTGATAAAGGTAACGCATCCCGCTGTTCGTTCCTGGAGAACGATATTGGCATCACGTATTTGCGATATTTGCATTCCTTCTACACCATTGCCGGTTCAAAACGGCGCTAGTCCACTTCAATTTGGTATCGACAAATTTGTAAGAAAAATCCAACCCAAAATTTATATTTAAATTTTACAACAGGATTTTCTTACGATGCAAAGTGGTTTAGTAGCAGAGCAAAACGGCGCAACCACGCTGCGAAAGAAGCTCAAGTACCGTACTGCATGCCCTCCATGCGCTCAGCAGCGGCAACAGCGTGCTGGCAGTGAATGGTCATCTTGTTCACCAGACGCAGGTCCATGCAGTTTATCGCGCGTCTGGCAGCTTGTAACGGGGTACAATCAAGTGTATCCATTACATGAAGAGTGACGGGTGTCACTCTCCCGAGTACATGGTACATGGTACCAGTAGCTCCGCAAGCCAACCATTTGAGTTTGTGTGGGCTTTTGTATGGTTAACTTGTAGTTTGTATTCCGACCAAGTTAACCTCTACCAAAATACAGTCAGTCTTATAACCTACTCCTTTGTAGCAAACCGTGCCGGGAACTGGTGAACTGCTGTTCACCTGGATAGTAATATCCACACGCACTTCCTCTGTGCATTGTGCTGTGTGACCCCGTCACACTTGGTAGCACTCGTAGTCAATCCTACGCCTACGCGGGTAGATTGGTCTACCTGAATCCTCGGTGGCTCAGGTCTGTGAGTCACGATGGACTGAAGTGAGTTTCCTCACTTGACTGACTCGCAGTTCGAGTCGGTGCGGAAGATGGCGGGCATCTTCGGAAGAGATGCCCTCCGGAGCTTGGCGGCGGCGAGCCGAGCAGGTCGAGCGGGTGAGCGCGTTTGACGAGTACGAACGCGGGCTCATCGCTCATGTGCAGGGAAACCTGCTGGCTCAGATGCGTGAGCCCAAAACGGGTGCAGCCTAAGCCTCTGCGGCTAGCTGTGCTTCCGTTCGAAGGGAAGGAAGGTGAGAACCTTCACTTCTGGATCCGGGAGACCGAGATCGCAAGGAGCGCAGGTCTCATCTCAGCCGAGAACCTTCGAGTCGCCTTTGCGCTCTCCAATCTTGGCGGACGTGCCAAGACTTGGGCGTATACGCGCGAAGCGATGTCGCCTGGATGTTTCACATCCTGGGCTTAACTGTGTGGGCAGCTTCGAGCCGCATTTCTCCCTGCGAACAACGAGTTCCGCCAGCGCTCGCGCTTCCTTGCCTGCAATCAAGGGGAGCGCGAGCTGTACGTGTACGTACAGGAGATGGGCACGTTGGCAGCCTCGCTGGTGGGGAACCCACTGTCGGAAGACGTCAAGATGACAGTCTTCGTGGACGACTTGAAGGTCGGTCCTGCGCGCACGCAGTTGTTCCGCGTGCGCACCGCCACTATGGAGGAGGCGATCCAAGTCGCCCTCCAGGAGGAGTACAGCCACAAGCAGGCTGGTGCTCTGGCTGTTGTACAGCCTGTGGTCGCTGACAGCGAACCAGAACCCATGGATCTGAGTTCGGCTCAGCAGTACTCAGCCCGCTGCTACGATTGCGGCGGACTAGGACACTACCAACGTGTCTGTCCATCGCCTGGGTCTGGGAAGAAGACCTACCCGAAGACCAGAGGGTCAAGGGGGCGCCGACGCC